TGGGGGTGCTGTGCCTGGGGGTGCTGTGCCTGGGGGTGCTGAGCCTGGGGGTGCTGAGCCTGGGGGTGCTGAGCCTGGAGGTGCCGAGCCTGGAGGTGCTGTGCCTGGGGGTGCTTCGTCTCGCCGGGAGCCGCTCTCTCCACAGGAGCTGCGTGAGTGGTTTGTCCGGCGCTGGAGGCGTGCCGCTGGTTCTGGTGGTTCTTCGACTGCGGAGGGCGCTGCTGCCACGCGACCTGGCGGTGCTCGTCCTGTGGGTGCTGGAGCTGCTGGGTCTGAGGGTTCTCCTGGAGCTGGTCCTGCTGAGGACGTTGGCGCTGAGCCTGCGGTTGGTGGTCCGACTGACGGTGCTCCTGGTGCTGCTGCTGGAGGTTCTGGAGCTTCTGGTGGTTCTGCTGGAGGTGCTGCTGGAGTGGGTGCTCCGGCCGGAGCTGCTGGTTCTGTTCCTGCTGTTTCTGGCGTCGCCGCGCGGTCTCGACCGTACTTCGTTCCGCTCCTGGAGCAGGTTCTTGGTCTTGCTCCTCCTCCTCCTCCCTTAGAGGGTCCGCAGCCTGTCCGGTCACAGCCACAGCTAGAGCCTGCCTCCCCTTTGCCTGCTCCTTCTCCCTACGCTGGTCCGACTGGAGGCCTTACTGAGCGTCGTGAGCCTGCGTCTCGTCCTGCGTCGCCTGTTCGTACTGAGCGCGCTAGTGGTCGCGGGTCGCGTCAGCGTCCTCCTCCTGTCCCTGGCACGCACCGGATGTCACTGCGTCCGTCCACTGCTCCTCTGCGTGCCCCTTTGCCTTCTCCTCCTGCTTCCTCTCTTCCTGCTCTTGCCGACCCGAAGTCGGACTCTCTTCGTGCTGCCAGTCCTACTGTCACGCGTCTCCTTGCTACTGCTGTCACTGACCCTTCCTTCGAGTCGTCTGCTGCGTCTGCCCTTGTCACTGAGCTTGTCGACTTTGCTGCGCGCTGTCGTCTAGACTACGCTGCTCGTCTTGTCGCTGAGTCTGAGTCCGCCTGTCCTCCGTCCGTCGGGGGTGAGTGTGCCCTTGGCACGGACGTCCTAGAGGACAGGCAGGAGGAGTTCCAGTGTCTAGCCGCTGCTTCACCTCGTCTCGCGTCTGTACTGCTAGCCCCTGAGGGAGACCCGGATGCACTAGACATCCCGACTCCGCGTTCTTACGCGGAGGCCGTAGAGGGTCCCTACTCCTCTCAGTGGCAGGCAGCTATGGATGCAGAGATGGCTTCCTGGAAGTCCACAGGCACCTACGTTGACGCGGTTCCCCCTCCTGGGGCGAACATCGTCAGTGGCATGTGGATCTTCAGGGTGAAGCGGCCGCCGGGCTCGCCGCCTGTCTTCAAGGCGCGTTACGTGGCTCGTGGCTTCAGTCAGCGGCAGGGAGTTGACTACTTTCAGACCTTCTCTCCCACCCCGAAGATGACCACTCTTCGGGTGCTGCTGCACATTGCCGCTCAGCGCGACTACGAGCTTCACTCTCTCGACTTCAGCACTGCGTTCCTGCAGGGTAGCCTGCACGAGGAGATCTGGCTGCGCCGTCCGCCTGGCTTCACTGGGACTTTCCCTCCTGGCACCCAGTGGAGCCTCCGACGGCCAGTCTACGGTCTCCGCCAGGCACCGCGTGAGTGGCACGACACACTGAGGACTACGCTTGCGGCTCTTGGGTTTGCTCCTTCTACTGCTGACCCGTCGCTGTTTCTTCGCACCGACACTTCCCTGCCGCCGTTCTACATCCTCGTGTACGTCGACGACTTGGTCTTTGCCACAGCGGACACTGCTGGACTCGCCTACGTGAAGTCCGAGCTGCTGAAGAGACACACGTGCACAGACCTGGGTGAACTGCGCAGCTACCTTGGCTTGCAGATCACTCGGGACAGAGCACGCCGCACCATTACCCTGACTCAGTCACACATGGTGCAGCAGGTCCTTCAGCGCTTCGGCTTCACGTACTCCTCGCCTCAGGCCACTCCTCTGCCTACTCGCCACTCACTCTCAGCTCTGCCTTCGGATGAGTCCGTAGAGTCGAGTGGTCCGTATGCAGAGCTTGTTGGCTGCCTCATGTACCTGATGACCTGCACACGACCTGACCTTGCATACCCTCTGAGCATCCTTGCACGCTATGTTGCTCCTGGGAGACACCGACCAGAGCACATGGCTGCAGCGAAGAGGGTATTGCGCTACCTGTGCAGTACGTCGGGCATGGGGCTAGTGCTTGGAGGGCGGAGTCCAGTGGTCCTTACTGGGCACGCAGACGCTTCTTGGGCTGACGACCAGGCTACGCAGCGGTCGTCACAGGGTTACACCTTCAGCCTTGGTTCCGGCTCTGTCTCGTGGCGGTCTACTCGCTCGTCTTCGGTTCTCGGCTCTAGTTGTGAGGCTGAGATCTACGCCGGGGCCATGGCTGCACAGGAGCTTCGCTGGCTCACCTACCTGCTGACTGACCTTGGAGAGCTGCCTCGTTCTCCTCCAGTGCTGTACGTAGACAACAAGGCCATGTTGGCCTTGTGTCGAGAGCAGCGCTTGGAGCACAGAACGAAGCACATTGCTCTCCGCTACTTCCTTGCTCGTGAGCTGCAGCAGCGTGGTCAGTTGCGACTTGCTTACGTGGCCTCTGAGGCCAACACTGCTGATGTGTTCACCAAGGCACTTGCGCCTTGCGACCATCAGCGCTTTTGTACCCAGCTGGGTCTTGTACCTGTCTTGCCTCACTTGCTCTCTTCTTGACTTTACTTGTACTTTGACATATATATACCTGCTCTTGCTTGTCTAGTTTTATATATGTCTGTACTCCTGCATGTGAACTGGCCTCTGGCCTTGCTCTTGTGCTTGGACTGTGTGGTGACTTTGTGATCCACCCTGAGCTTGCTTTGCTTTGCTTGACTGGTCTTGTGACCCCTTGTTCTCCCCCACTTTGCCTATGGGGGTGTGTCAGATTGTTATAGTTGATGCATGTTTGTAGGCTATAGTGGGGTAGCACATATGGGGTACAGTTTGCTAGGGTTGTATTTGTACCCAACTCTGACTTAGTCAATTCATTCCTGTTCAGTTAGTCTCACACAAGGGCACCCTCATGTTGAGCACGGTGCCGCCGTGACTAGCAGTGAGGTTTTGCCCTGCTCGTCGCTATATGTGCTCTTGCTCGTTGTTTGTTTTGTTTTTGCTATGTTAAACTTCATGTAGTTTCCATTAGCTTTAACAGACCTTTATTGATTGTGTTTTCCCATCAACTTATTCTCTCATTGACGTTGTCTATTTCGATGCCATGTCCCATTCTTTCAGGTCCTCGCACATCAGATCGTGAAGTCATTTATCATGAAGCGTAAGCTGCTATATGTGATCGATTGAAAGAAGCCCGCGAGGTGCTGATGAAGACGCCTGGAGCGCATACTGTCAGAATATTATTTTATTGTTCTAGCCTGTAGTGGGGTGCTCTATAGCGAGTACAACCCTTCTAGGGTTTGCTATTTGTATCCTCATTCTTGCTAGTTCAATCCTTTTTTCTTTCTTCAAACTTTGTCATGCTATCAGAGCAGGTCGATCCCCTTGGATCGATCCTGTGGGTGGGTTACCACCTCGCTTCCGCTGCTATTTTTCCTCCCGCCGTGCGCCCCGAGGCGCGCGGCGGTTTTCTGCCCGCCGTGCGCCCCGAGGCGCGCGGCGGTTCTTTGCCCGCTGTGCGCCCCGAGGCGCGCGGCGGGCTTCTGCCCTACGTCGCGGCCCCGCCCTGCGTCGCGGCCCAGCCCCTCGAAGCGGCCCCGACCGTCGCGGCCCCGCCCCTCGACGCGGCCCGCCCTACGTCGCGGCCCCGCCCTGCGTCGCGGCCCCGCCCCTCGAAGCGGGGCGAGCTGTGGGGTGGCGGGTATGGGGGTGGCCGGTGTGCCTTCCTCCCTTGCTCCTCCTCCTCCTTCGTCTCCCACTGCGGCAGCTGTCGCTGAGGGGGGTGGTTGTGTGGGAGACTGGGGTTTAGGGTTTAAGGGGGGGTGCGTGGGAGTAGAGCTAGCGGTGTAGCAGTGGGTGTGTATCAGGGGGGTGGGACTGTTTGCGGGAGGTTGAGCGGAGGCTGCCGGCTTGTCGTCCGCAGCACATGTAGTCCGGGGCGCTGTCCCGGTAGCCCAGTCGTAGCCAGCTGTGCCAGCCGCCCGTGGGTCCGTTGCCCGTCCGCCGCTATTTGAGCCGCGGGGCCTGTTACTCCTGTAGTCCGGGCGCTGTCCGGTAGCCGCTGTGCCAGTCTGCCTCCTGTTGCCCGTGTGTCTGCAGCTTCAGCCGTCGCCTCCTGTCTCCTCTCTCCTCACTCTCCCTCCTCCTCCTCACTTGCCCGTTGTGACTACCACTAGCTTTGCTTATAATTGTGAACTCTAAACTATTTCTTCTTGAACTTGTGCTCAGAATGTGTGGTGACATTGTGATCCACCCTGAGCTTGTTTTGCTTTGCCTGCTCTGCTGATTACACCCCACTTTGGCTATGGGGGTGTGTCAGAATATTATTCTTATGTTCTAGCCTGTAGTGGGGTGCTCTATAGCGAGTACAACCCTTCTAGGGTTTGCTATTTGTATCCCCATTTCTGCTAGTTCATTTCTCTTTCTTCTTCTAACTTTTGTCACATACGCGTGGTCCTGCGTTTCAAGTGAGTTTCGTCGTTTTTTTTTAATTCTTTTTACTAGTCCGATTGACAGAAGTACTTTTTTTATGCAGCAGATTATGGACCATGGCCCATTTACAACGACAAGCACCGCTCTTCCTACACGATAACATGCTGTGTTTTTGTTTTTCGTCTAAAAGCTGATAATTTACTTCGCGTGGTGGAGGTTGAGCAAGGAAGCACATGTATTGCAGTGAGAAGACAAGTATTGAATACAGCTTGCTAAGCCATTGTATGCTGGTTAGTGTAGTGATGTGGCATTAGAGATTTATGAATATTTATGATTTACCTTGCAATCTCAGCTTTATTGAAATGAATCGCCTGCAAAAACGTTTCATTGCTTGATTTTTATCATTATTGTTATGATGTTTTATAACGTCGGATTTGGCTTCTATTGTGGTTTGGTGTTGTGGAAGCAGGAGAAGCGGCGCATGGAAAGGAGGCAGGAGCGCAGGGATCAGCAGAGGCACACTCTCTGCGGCCGCACGCGGTTCCACGCATGCCCGTTCGGCAAGCAGGTGGCTGTAGGGGCTGATGATGGTGACCGCATGGAGTCTATCTATGCGACTGCTGCAGGCTCGGAAAGTGACGAGGAGGAGGAGGAGGAGGAGCAGCAGCGAGACGCGTTTGCTGATAACGAGGCAGAAGGCCGGGAAGAATCTCCAGAGCTTCCGTTTCTAGAAGCTCCGAATCTGCAGGCTCTCTTCTTCCCAAGCCGCTGCCTGGTGCCTCCCGAACTGCTGGCCACCCTCAAGGATCGATACCCGTTGTTGGCGCTGTACTGTGTTGTGCGGCGCACGTTCTATTGGGAGCACAAATGACGCACGGTGGAGGGAGGGCCGGTGGAACACTGGAGGCAGCACAGGGGTGCGAAGAAGAGCCTGTCGTTTCGCAACGGGCGCAAGTCCGTGCGGGATAAGATGCACTGTGTGAATGGAGGATTGCTGACAGGGTATAGTCTGGGCGAGGAGGATAGGTACATGGTGGATAAGAAGGACTGGACGGCGGTTTTCTATGCCGAGGACCACCCAATGCCTGAGCTTCCTGCGCCGGACGCTCCCTATACAGAAACGGAAGACCCATGGGCGGGTGAAGAGGATGATGAGGATGAGGAGGGAGAATGGGGGTAGGGGTGGGAGTGGGAGTTGGTAGCATTGTAAGTGTACCTTACAGTGCAGCATCTGGACCTGAGAACCTTTAAAGAACCCGTGTAGATGTAATCTGTATTGAGGGCACATGATATAACCTGGTTTGTGTATCTGAGCCTTTTCAAACAGACGATGTTCAGCATGTGTTAGGGTGTGTTTCCTAGTTAAATACACTGTGTTCAGCGTGTGTTAGGGTGTGTTTGGGGCTTTGCGCCTGGCTCACAGTGGAAGAGACCCAGCAGACACAGAGAAAGAGGGGCGATTGGGGAGTGAGGGGAAAATGTTAGAAAAGGCTGAGGGACTTGATTGAGGAGGAGTTTGGAGAAAGGAGAGTTAGTTGGACCATTGAGAAAGGGGATACAACCACTATGTACGGTATCTATAAATCCTAGTAATACATCACGTCAAGTGTTCGTTATAAATAGCATAGCTACCCTACTTCTAGGTTGGTGCCATAGCATTTTACGATCAAAATTGGATTACATTCTGTAGAAGTACATTATCGGCTTTGGCCGTTGTCACATGAGCGGGTAGCACGTATACACAAGATGCCCAACCCCTGCGCGCGAATTTGCCCTGCCCGCGATGGAAACTCTGCTCTGCACCCGTGTATTAGGGTGCCAGCCAGTTGCACCCCATTTACAAGCACCTCGAGCAATACGAACCACAAAAACCGAAGTTTGACAGAAGAGACCAACGTCAAACGGTCAACAGAGAGTTACAAAAATTTTTAAATCCCTTTTTGCTAAGTGCGAATCGACGAAAACTTAGCGAAATGCAAGTATCACTTTAGAGCCCTCTTTACAAGGCAACCCTGGGTTAGTCAAACGGGCATCTTGTGTACTGGGTTTGTTGGGTTTTGAATGTTTGAAATTTCAAGCACCAAATCTCCTGGACGAAGCGCGTCCCCCTCCCATCCCATTGCCAGCCACCACCCGCCCAGTCGTCACATTCTCGCCTGATTCACAAAACTTCCCACTCCCACACCCATGCACTACCATCATCAACCATTCTCATACTTTCCGCCCCGACCCAGCAGCCTTAGCTTCAACTTCTTAGAGCTCCTTTACTCGTTGCTGCGTTTCTGGTCTACACGCCTACTAGGTTTCATCCTCACCACTGACGGCACGTCCACCGTCGCATTATTGAGTCAATGGCATTCCACGGTGCTGGCGCGGCCCTGTTACTAGTCGGCCACCTCATTCCTTGCAGTGTTTTGACATAATTCGCTTTCCGTCAGATAGGGCATTCACTTGAGCCTCGCCCCAGGCCCCAGCGCGCACGGAATGAAGCGACCCCACGGTCCTCACGCGATTGGTTCGCGAAGGTCGACACGTCGCGCGATCAGTGTGGCGACGGACGCGAGCAATGATGCCGCGGATGCGACGGCAGCCAGAGTCACGTTGAGTCCTGGGACTCCGTCGGATGGCCCCTCCGAGACTCGCGGAGCACCGTTGGATGATGGGCCGACGGGTGCAGTGCTACTAGATCGAGTCGCGATGGACGCAAAGCATTGGGAAACAGGGGAGCATGACGGGAAGGCCTTCGAAGCGCAGAGTGAAGGTGGGGAGACGGGGGAACATGACGAGGAGGCCCTCGAAGCGCAGAGAGAAGGTCGAAAAGCGGGTCATCCTGTTGTGGTTTGTTACCACCGGCGGCGCGTGCGGATCGGAGGGGATGGATGGGAAGATTATCTACGGGATCATCAACCGCGGCGCGAGGCAGCACAAAACGGGGGAGTCCCTTTCGCGCCTCTCGGAGAGGCGCGCACGCTGGCGGAGAAGGGCGCAACGGCGGAGACGCGAGAAATGGCGGAAGATGGGGAAAGCGCAGGGGTTCGGAGAGGAGAGGGCGGAGATGGAGCTCATGGGGGAGTGTTTCCGGGGATGAGGCAGGATGACGTGGCGATGCGCGTGATCGGCATGATGGGCGCGGCAGCGGGGAGCGCGGAGGAGCTTTCTTTTGCGCAGCTGGTGGGTGTGAGTCGGTGGTGCGCGCAACGCGCCGTGGAGGTCCGCGTGGCGGCGCAACTGGCGGAGCGGCTTGCGGAGGTGGAGAGGAGGGTGAGAGAGGAAGAGCGGAAGAAAGAGGAAGAGCGGAAGAGAGAGGGGGAGCGGAAGAGAGAGGAAGAGCAAAAGAGAGACGAGGAGAGGAAGAGGGAGGAGGAGAGGGTGAGAGAGGAGGAGCGGAAGAGAGAGGAGGAGAGCGTGAGAGAGGAAGCGCGGAAGAGAGAGGAGGAGAGGAAGAGAGAGGAAGAGAGGGTGAGAGAGGAAGAGAGGAAGAGAGAGGAAGAGAGAAAGAGAGAGGAAGAGAGGAAGATTGAGGAAGAGCAAAAGAGGGAGGAAGAGCGAAAGAGAGAGGAAGAGAGGAAGAGAGAAGAAGAGAGGACGAAAGAGGAAGAAAGGAAGAGAGAGGAAGAAAGGGAAAGAGAGGAAGAGAGGAAGCAAGAGGAAGAGAGGAAGCAAGAGGAAGAGAGGAAGCGAGAGGAAGAGAGGACGAAAGAGGAGGAGAGGAAAAGGATAAGGCGGGAAGAAAAGAAGAGGGCGCGTCAGGAAAAGTGGAATAAATGGAGAGAAGAAGAAAGGAAGAGGTTGAGCGAGCTCGTGGGGAAGCGAGTGAGAGAGGAGGAGGCCAAAAAGCGTAAAGAGCTGGAGAGGAAAGCGTGCAAGGCTGTCGCAAGGGCGGAGAAGGTGGAGAGGCTCGGAAAGCAGCTAAAAGCGGCCCTGAAGGAGGCAGAGGGGGCGGTGGCGGGGTTAGAGGAAAGCATTGAGGAGGAAATGGAGGAGGTTCTGGTGCGAGCAGAGCTTCTTAAACGCTGCGTCAAGACAGATAAAACGACTTTTCAAGATGCAGCCGGTGGCGCAGGGTGCAAGCGAGCTCGCACGGCTGATGGCTCTGCTGCGCTACGCATGAAGGAGGTATGATGAGTCATAGTGCATGCTTACATCTCATAGCCTTTCAATGCCCGCCATGCCAATCATCCGGTTACCAGCCATCCGGTTACCAGCCATCCGGTTGCCAGCCATCCGGTTGCCCCAATCCCATGCCCCCATCCCATGCCCCCATCCCATGCCCCCATCCCATGCCCCCATCCCATTCCCCCATCCCATTCCCCCATCCCATTCCCCCATCCCATTCCCCCATCCCATTCCCCCATCCCATTCCCCCTGCGCCCTCCCTCGCACATGGTCTCGTTCGGCCCTACTGTCCCACACACACTCCTATTGAGCAGCACCTGCTAGCCCTCTTGCCCTTGCCGACAAGCAGCCCCTCCCTCCCTCTGTGTGTGTTTCCTGGCAGCACCACTGGCGTTGCCGTTCGGCCATTCTCCATTCAGCCATTCCCGTCTCCGCCCGCCTCTCCCTGTGTGTGTGTTGCCTGGCAGAGCCTGAAGTGCCTTACCTCACATGCAAAGGCTGTGAGAGAGAAGGCGCAGGAGGTGAGGCGGCAAGTGCGTGCGCTGTGTTTTTTAGAGGTCTCAAATTTCGCCCCTCCCCTCGTGTTTTTTTCTTGGCAGCACCTCAAGGCCCTTACCTCCCATGCAAAGGCGGCCAGAGAAACGGCGCAGGAGGTGAGGCGGCAAGTGCGTGCGCTGTGGGCCAGACAGGTAGTGGCTGGCGAGGCGATGCAGGTTGAAAAGGAGGGGGGAAATGAGGAGGGGGACGAGGAGGGGGCGGAGGAAGAAGGGGGAGAGGAGGAGGAGGAACAGGAGAAAGGGGCGGAAGAGGAGGAGGGGGAGGAAGAGGAGGAGGAGGAAGAAGAGGAGGCTGAGGATGAGGAGATGAGGGCTCCAATGGAGGAAGGCGTTGGTGATAACTACGACTTGGTACAGGTGAGCCGCACTGAAGCTGGGTACCGGAGTAGTGATGAGAGTAGTAGCAGTCAGGAAGAGCGTGGGGATGAGGAGATGAGGGCTCCAATGGAGGAAGGGATTGGTGATAACTACGACTTGGTACAGGTGAGCCGCACTGAAGCTGGGTACCGGAGTAGTGATGAGAGTAGTAGCGGTCAGGAAGAGCGTGGGGATGAGGAGATGAGGGCTCCAATGGAGGAAGGGATTGGTGATAACTACGACTTGGTACAGGTGAGCCGCACTGAAGCTGGGTACCGGAGTAGTGATGAGAGTAGTAGCAGTGAGGAAGAGCGTTGGGATGAGGATATGAGGGGTGCAATGGAGGAAGGGATTGGTGATAACTACGACTTGGTACAGGTGAGCCAGCACTGAGCCTGGTTTTGAGGCGCCCCAAAACTCGACTTGGTGCAGGTGAGCAGCACTGAGCCTGTGTACCAGCGAGGTTATGGTAAGATGAGAGTAGTGGCGGTGAAGAGTCATCGAGGCCTCAACGTTCTGAGGCGCGTCAGCATTCGAAGCCTCAATCAGACAACTTATTCCCTTGTTGTGGTACTTGTACAAGAGAATGACTAGTCAAGGGAACGACAAGTCATTCCCTTGTACTTAAACGCTCTCCCTGCAACGGTAAAAGCTCTCTCATGTGTGACTTTTGAGTTTACTTAAACTCACCTAGTCATTCCCTTGTGGTTCTTATACACCCTCCCCTCAACGGTATAAGCTCTCTCAATTCTTATCTCCCTTCTCCGATCCTCGCTCCTCGTGCTTTCACGTTTCTTTTCGTCCACTCCATGCATCCACCCACCCACCATTCCCCCATGAATACCCGCATCTCTCCCCCCCCCCCCCCACAATCCCTTCCCCCATCCCTTCCCCTTGTCCCTCTCAGCCCCACGCTCAGGCACGCCCTGCAGCAGCCAGACTTCCTCAGAGGGGGGTGATGGGGGGCGGGGGCGCAGGCGGAGGCGCTACAGGGTGCATGGGGGAGAGGCGCGAGGGGGCGGAGGGAGGGGAGAACAGGGCGCGGGCAGCTGGGGGGGATGAGAGAGGAGGGGCGGGAAGGGCAGGTGGAGTGGACAGGAATGGGCTGTTGCATGCACGGGCAGGGCAAGGGGCGCAAGGGGCACAAGGGGCGCGAGGGGGACAAGGGGCGCAAGGGGCACAAGGGGCACAAGGGGCGCGAGGGGGACAAGGGGCGCAAGGGGGACAAGGGGCACAAGGGGCGCGAGGGGGACAAGGGGCGCAAGGGGGACAAGGGGCGCAAGTGGAACAAGGGGCGCAAGTGGAACAAGGTGCACAATGGGCACAAGTGGAACAAGGAGTGGTGCTGGAGGGTGCAGGGGAGCGCCCAACGGTGGCTGTGCAGGAGACTCTGCAGGAATGGGCACGGCGGGAGCAAGCACAGCGGGAGCAAGCACAGCGAGAGCAAGCACAGCGAGAGCAAGCACAGCGAGAGCAAGCACAGCGGGAGCGGGCACAAGGGGGACAAGCGGGACAAGGGGCACAAGGAGTGGTGCTGGAGGGTGCAGGGGAGCGCCCAACGGTGGCTGTGCAGGAGACTCTGCAGGAACGGGCACAGCAGGAGCAAGCACAGCGGGAGCTAGCACAGAGGGAGCAAGCACAGCGAGAGCAAGCACAGAGGGAACAAGCACAGAGGGAGCAAGCACAGAGGGAGCAAGCACAGAGGGAGCAAGCACAGCGGGAGCGGGCACAGCGAGAGCAAGCACAGCGAGAGAGGGCACAGTGGGAGAAAACTAAGGGCGAGGTGATCCGCTTTCTGGTGGCCCAAAAGGAAGCAGGTGAAGAGTCAGGTGAAGAGTCAGGTGAAGAGTCAGGTGAAGATTCAGGTGAAGAGACAAGTCAAGAGACAGCACAGGACTTCACACTATCCAGCTCCAACCCTGTTTTCAATGACAAGCCTAACAACAGCCTCTACTGTTTCCTCACCTTTTGTCCCCGCTACTACCCACGCCTCTTCACTTCTCTCTCCTCCCTCACCCTACACCGCCTCTCCCCCATCCGCGCCCGCGCTCTCTCCGCTCTTCACCTGCTGCCATCCCTCACCTCGCTCTGCTTCCAGGAAACTACCATCAAGCCAGGGGGGCAGTTCCGGCTATCGTCCTTGTCTCGGCTGCATAGGCTGGTCTTGGACTGTCCAATATCGCACTACCTGAACCTGGACACTCATGCGCCCTCTGGGGGTACGGGTATGGGTATAGGTACTGGTACCCAGCAGCAGCAGCAGCGGCAGCAGCAGCAGCAGCAGCAGCAGCAGCAGCAGCAGCAGCAGCAGCAGCAGCCTTTTGTGGGTTCCCATCAGCAACCCTTTGAGAATCTAAGGGAGCTGCATGTCAGTCACGTGTGCGACTCCCTGCTTCGCCAGGTGGGCTGCTTATACCGCCTTGAAGCCTTCTCGTGTACGTGCAGCAAGAAAGTGACCATCTACGGGTTGAACCAGCTGGAGCGACTCACCAAGCTGACGAAGCTCCAGGTGGCGCCAGCAAACCTGTACGATCATTTCCTGGAGCTTCAGTTTCGGAGTGACTCCCTGCCAGAAATTGCCCGAGTGTGCGAGTTGCTCGAACCTAACGGCACGGGCGTTTGTGAGTGTGCTGATGGGCTGAATAACCCCGAGCACCCGTGCCTGGATGCCAGTGTGTGGGAGGTGGTGGGTGCATTGCCGAGCTTGCAGCATGTTGGGGTGCATGGGGTGACATCCAGCAATCAAGACCTGCGAGCCCTTGCCCCTCTCACACGCCACCTCTCCACCCTCCACGTCACCGGCACCAACCTGAAGGACGTTGGGTGGATCAGGTGCTTTTCTCAGCTGAGAGGGCTGGGACTGGCTGGATGCAGCCTGTATGTGGATTCGCAATTGCACGGGTGGAGCCAGAGCCTGGTGCACTTACAGGCGCTGGATCTTTCAGCCACAGGAGTCAGCTACAAGGGCGCTTCGAAGCTTTGTTTATTTAAGAGTTTGGAGCGCTTAAAGGTGCAGCAGTGCTGCAACATGCGCGCGGCATTCCTGGATCACGTCAGTAAAGTGCCGCGGTTGAAGGAGCTGGATGTGGGCTTTAACAAGGTGTCGACGAAATGGGTGAGGCCGATACTGGATGGGAAGCGGGTGTCACGGCTGTGTGTGCGCGGGTGTGGGTGGAGTGAGAGACAGCTGTGGAATGCTCGACAGTCGCGGATTGATGTGGTGCAATGATGGTGCTGGGATGCATGCCATGTGCTGGGATGCATGGCATGTGCTGGGATGCATGGCATGTGCTGGGACGCGTGGCATGTGCTGGGATGCATGGCATGTGTTGCATGGCATGTGGTGCATGGCATGTGGTGCATGGCATGTGGTGCATGGCATGTGTTGCATGGTATGTGGTGCATGGCATGTGTTGCATGGCATGTGTTGCATGGCATGTGTTGCATGGCATGTGTTGCATGGCATGTGTTGCATGGCATGTGGTGCATGGCATGTGTTGCATGGCATGTGTTGCATGGCATGTGGTGCATGGCACGTGTTGTAGCACGTGATGCATGGCATGTTTTGCATGGCATCTTGATACGTCCGAGTGCCTTCTAGTTACAACCACCCACATTTCTCCCACTTCGATCTTACTTCCATCTTGACCTTACTCTTCTCTACACCCTTGGCCCCTGGCTCCTCCCTCTCATTTGTCCTCCCACCTTCGTGCTAGAAGAAAAAATTCGTCCCAGTATTTATCCCTTTGGTGGTAGTGCTTTATTTATCTCTGTTTCATACCGGTAGGATTCTTTACACCTGTTACATTCGTACACATGTACCAATCAAGTCTTTGACTCAAAGAAAAATAACCAAAGAGGTCATTGCCTATGCCTTATATGAAGCGACCTACACGGGATAGCAGCACCTAGACTACACAGAACACCTTCATTAATAGAAGTCAACCTAGGTACTGCTGTGTGCAAAAATTTCGACCAAAGGTAATAATGACTCGAATATTCTGACCCTTTTCTTCTAGAAGAAACTACGGTATAAAAATCAAACAAAATCTTCCATCAATCTTTGGAAAATCAGACCACTAGGGGCCTGATGAATCAGGGTAGTCTACAACCAATCAATCCTTATGATACGGTAGTATTTTTTGCAAGTTATATAGCAAAACTGTAATGTGAACTAGGTACCGGTACTCAATATGGGACACATTAGCCATGAATCGAGCTAGATTTACTTATTAATACTACACTAGCCCTAGCACCGCCACACACTCAGAGCTGGTAGAAGAGCACTTAATCCAACGACAAGATAACAGCAGAAGCAGCAATGGGCGACACAACAGTGACACCACCGTCATTAAACAAATACCACTGCCCGTTTTGAGACGTCTCAAAAGTCCTCAGGATTGCGTCTGAGCTGGTAGAAGAGAACATAAGCAGACGAGGAGATAACAGCAGAAGCAGCGATGGGCGACACACCGCTGTCGTTGAACAGATACCACTGCCCGTCCGCAGGGTTGCGGCAGTGCGCTGTGTAGTGGCCCGAAGAGAGTGACCCCATGTGGTTCGTCACAGCGTATAGATCGTACACCGGGGCTGACCCGCTGCTGCCGCTGCTGCTGCTGCTTCGGCTGTTGGGGCTGGGAGGACTGACAGGCTCTGTGGAGGGGTTTTCTCGAGAGAGTGAGCTGCTGGGGTGATTAGAGTGGGGTAGTGGCAAGCAGGAGTGGAGAGGTGGAGGGTGAAATACTGAGCCAAGCACAGGGAAGAGCACAGCACAGCAGAAATAAGAGTGGACGGATAGCATTGTAAGCTTTGTCAGAGATAACGACTCCAGCATAAGGAGGGCAAGCGCACCTTTGGAACTTTGAGAGGTCAAGGCTGTGAAGGTCACAGGAGACAAAGGTGGAGTCCTTCTGAAAGAGGGAGATCGCTGACGAGGCCACTCTCTGTTGCACATGCGACACAGTGCGGGGACAATGGGAACATGGAAAAGGGAATGCAGGGGAAGAGAGAAATTAAAATGGAGAATGCCCAAAAGTATGTTGTTGCAGATGAAAATGGGAAAACATGAGGTGTAAATGACATGTTCAACAGGTGTGTGTTGTTCAACAACTACCATATGTAACGAGGACCTACCTTGATGTGTATAACGAGGATGGAGGGAAAGCGCACAATGGACAGTCGTCTCACAGCCTTGCTGGGCTTCTTGCAGTGCGAGCACGAGTACTGCAGGAAGGGAAAGACAACAAGAGAAATGGGGAGGGCAACAAGGGCTAGGTTGATTAGGTTGACCTCAAGAAGCACGCAGCTAAGTCCCAAAGCACAATTCACGGCAGCACTGATGACATGCAGCGAATTGGGATGCCAGCAGCTGCTGTGTTGCCAATGGCAGAAAATCAAACAAGTGGTGAGGACGGTCGGGGGGTGGCGGAGGAGCGGTGCGGTTAGTGAGGGGTTGGGGATGGGAGAGGGGAGTTAGTGAGGGGAAGTAGGAAGTTTGGGGTTTGGGAAGGAAAGGGCTGCTTACCGCATTGTCCCCTTGGAGCTCTTTTGAGTCAACTCAAAGGTCGCCTCAGAATATTGTCACACGTGGGGGTGGGGAAGGAGAGAGCTGCTCACCGCATTGTCCCCCTGCAATGTTTCTTCCGCCAGGATTTCCCCCAGGCAGTCGCGGATGGAGGGCGCATGTTGAGACGTCTCAAGAGTCGGAAATGTGGGGATGGGGAAGGAAGGGCTGCTTACCGCATTGTCCCCCTGCAGCGTTTCTTCCGCCAGGAGCTCCCCCAGGCAGTCGCGGATGGAGGGCGCGCGGAAGGAGAAGAAGCGGCGGCGGGGGATGGGCACAGACAGGTCCAAAAAGGGGTCGAAGCAGTGCGACCGGTGGTGGCACGTCAGACACTCGATCGTGCTCTGCAGCTGCCCGCAAAATATTTGCTGGATGGGGCTGGCGAACCGCACGCAGTGCTGCCTCCAGAGGGCGTCCGCTTGCTCCGCTTCGGGTAGCTGGTCGAGGTTTTCGGGCAGGCTGTGACATTTTGGGAGCTGTGGGGAGAAAGAGGGAGGGAGTGTAGAAGGGGCGAGGGGGAGTGGTATGGATTAGGAACGTCTTGGTTGAAGAAAGAAAGAAAATAAGAGCAATGGCGACCGGTGGAGCAATGCAGCATGCATTAGGCCTTGAGCGCTAATAACACGTAAGGCCTACTCTATCAACACTTCAGCACCAACCCTTACGACGCTATTAACCCTCTTATCTCGTGCAATCAATCCCTAAGGCAAGCACACACAAACTCTGCTTCTTGAAGCCTGACTCACCCCGCCACGTTTCTGCCTCCTCTCCCCTTCTCTCTCCCTCTCTCGCCCTCTCCATCTCGCTCTCCCCATCCTCACTAATCGCCCGTTTCAACACGCTTACCTCGCTCTGCCCCCGCGTCTCCTCGTCCAGTTTATCCACCAGAGATCGCAGAAACTCCTGCGAGTCGTGCTGACCGAACCCCGCGAAGTGCGGCACGTGCTTGTGCACGCTCGACAGCAGCTCCGCGGGGCTGATTGCGCCCGCCGCCTCCCCCGCCCACAGCTCTGTTACCAGCCGCCCGAAACTCCGCGACACCTCCTTCACCTCCTTCACCCCGCTTCCGCACTCGCGCGCGCCTTCCGCGCATGCTGCGCGCCCACCCTCAGCGGGAGCCCCGTGCAGGGAGTCCGCGCACGCGTCAGCGCCTGCGTCCCGCGGGCGCAGGGAGTCGGGGAGGGCGGGGAGCGGCAGGGGGAGATGCGGGGGGGCGACAGCAGGGCTATGGCCGCCATTAAGTCCGCAACCCACGGGGACGGATAGCGGGCTCCCGATCGACGATCCTCCGAAGACTAATCCGCTCTTTAAAGACATGACGTGGCACGGGATTTTCGGGGATGCCGAACCGAAGGAGGATAGGTTAAAGCACCCGTTGCTACGAACATGGTCTAAGTGGGGTTTCTTACAGCCGCCGCGGCATTCCACCAGCGGCAACGACGACGACAACGTCGCGTGAGTCGCAGGCGTCGCATGCAGCGGACCACTGAAATTGACAGTCGCGCGACCCTCCTCGGAATCGTCGCAGCCGCGGTAGCACGTCGAACTCAACGGGCCGCTCACGGAAATTCCCTGCCGGCACGGGCTGTCCCTCGCACGCGTGAACTGGTTAGCTGAATCCGCGGATTTTTCTGAACACAGAGCGGTACTGTACGGTGAGCAGATTTTATTGGGCTGCTGCTGCTGCCGCTGCCGACCCAACGCCGCAGCCACCGCCTCGCCAGCTTCCCTCAGCGACTCTTCCCTAGCACCCACCCGTTCCCCTGACCTGCCGCCGCCAATTGCGGCCGGCAACCCATTTCCAGCGAACCCAGTGCGATTACCAGACGACGCGCCACCTGCCAACTCTGTTCGCGAGGGTGGAAGCCCCATAGCGGCGGCGGCGGCGGCGGTTTCTTGCACAAAGTAGAGGGCGAGGGGCATGGAGTGACTAAGACACTGCACGCACGCGTTCATAAAGCACGTGTTGCCTAGATTCTTCAGCCCTACCAGCGGCCGCGGCCGCTTGGATTGTTTGCCGCCCGAGCGAAGCCTGAACGTGGCGAAACCTGTGCGACTATCGTCGTTGTCGACGGGCGGCGCTGGTCGCTTGGCGACGCCCGCTTCGACCAGGAGTTGCTGCAGCAACGAAGCTGCCTCGGCGGGAGGCAGGGAGAGAAGGTCGAGAGCGGCCGACGCGCATGGCGACGCGTGCAAGGCTGACTCTAACGCGAACGACGGAGACGGCGATGACGATGACGACGACGACGACGCTTTTCGAGTTGAACGGTCGCACGACGACAATTCGCCAAAATGAGTGACAGATTTGTTTTCACATGTCTGCTCCTGCTGTTGCTTCTGCTGCTGCATGACCATACCACCTCCACTCCGCATCTCGAAGCTGATTGGAGGCTCGAGCGGGCAGCACGCGCGACTGGTCGCAAGCTCGCACGCACGCGACGGCGACGACGGCGGGGACGGCGGAGCAGATTCTAGTTCAATCGGCCAAACCAGCGAAGGCATATGGCTGTTGTTACCACGGCCGTAGAGGCAAGAAAGGTAATCGGCCATTCCAGGAGCTGTAGAGCAAAGCTCGTCGTTCAAAGCAATGCAAGCTGCTGCTTGGGTCATGGTGTCTCAAAGATCGCCCAGCAACGGCCCAGCTCCCAGCTCCCAGTGTCAGGGAGAATCAGCGAGAGCTAGAAACGGAGCGTGGAGTGGAGGCAACGGTTCTGCTCTGCTCTGCACTGCAAGGCCACGCCCAGTGAGTGGGAGAGAGGCAACGGAAAGCACGGAGTGGCGGGAGATCATTCTGGAGCTCGGGAGAATCGGGGAAACAAGAGGCTGGGCTGGGCTCCTGTCAGAAGCACAGCACGGAACCGTAGCGTGCGGTGCCCTGCAGCTCAGGACATTCAGTCCCAAGCCGTGGGTGCCCCAGCAAGCGCGGCGGTTCGGGAAATGGTGTGGCGGAGGGGCTGCTAGGTGCGGTTCAAGCCTGGGCTCGGGAGTGACGAGAGACGTGGCCTCGAGGTGGGGTTTGCATCGCTACCTGATTGGTCTGTGGGTCCGCGACTGGGGGAGAGGTTTGGAAAAAGAACCGAACCAGGAAACTTTTTAGCCTCGGCTTGTTTCGAGAGGCGACTCGCCCCGGTGTTTCCGTTCCATCCGACGGCCAGGAATACCCACGCCGCGCTGTAAAACAAGAACTCATGTGGGTCACTTCAACAATTATAAAAGCCGATGTCAACCATGGTGGAGTTTGTGTTTAGCAAAATATCGGTTTTTTAGCGAAAAATATGTTGCAAGGCATATACCTCTTGCAACAAGATGCGCTTTCCTGTGTTCTCACTGGTTCGGCTTGTTTTCACACCGAGCTTGCGGCTCCAGATCCCACAACAAACTTCACGGTTGTTGGAACTTGACTGTGACACATGACAGATGCGACACTGTATGTCCGAACCTATGGGCCAGACAAGGGAGACCTATAAACCAGACAAGGGAAAACATCTGTATACCTGGAATGACTGCTCCGATATTGAACAATGCACATGATACTAGAGTGTTTTGCTGTGTCAATTTTGTTTGTAAGCATGGAAATTAGACACCACATTCCTTCCTTGGTTTGGAGAGTGATGAGACAGTGTACTGCGGTACTTTTGGTGCTTCATGCCAGGGTCCATTAGCGATTCTAACCCTGGGGGGAATGTGATATGTATCTTTAGGCCAAATCGTAGACTGCATAATGTTGTTCCGCGATCTGAAAACTGGTGAATGGCTAAAGCCTAAATATGAACCACCTATAACAGCCAGAGGCACAGGCAAACACGAGGAGCTATATGCAGCAATGAGTGACATTTCTATGTACTGAGGTTAAAAATTGTACATTGCATCACCGAAGTTTCTTCCAGAGGTACACAAAGAGGAAGCACGCTAGCGCAAAGAGGATGACGTGTAACAGGTGCGCGGACCCACTGCCCTTAAGGTGCCTGTCTACCTTCCGCATAGTGTTGCGCACTGCTGCCCGTGCCTTAGACATGGTGTGCTCCTGAGAGAACAAGAGAGGAAGAGGTGTTGGATGAGGAGGTATGGAGGGTGAGTGATGAGAGGGAGAGGGGCGAAATGAGCGAAATAAGGCAGGAGAAACATGGTGAGAAATGATGGGTAGGCAAAGTACGGTTGTATCAAAACAGGGAGGAAGGAAATACATGTTTTCCATGACATCTGAAACATCAATATGCAAGCATGTGAGCACCACAATACATGCACGGATGCAAGACTCACCAGTTGATTAAGGATATCGTTCTGCTGCTTGGTCTCAAGGGCTATGTCGCCTGCTACCTATGGAAAAAGGAGAAACAGAGGCGGCGGGCATGAGAGAAGGACAGGGGGGCATTGAGACAAAGAGACTGTAAGAAAGGGAAGGCGGAAAGTAGGAGACACGGACTTGAGAGGAGGGAGGGAGATTGGAGGAAGGAAGGAAGGGAACGTGCACTTCTTCCCCAACCAAACCCATATTCCTCCAATTCTAATCCCTGAGCTAGATTTCCCAGCCTCAGCTTCCATCAATCTCCAACCGTTTCCTCCCCAGTCCCCCGCTGGACCTCCTCCCAAAAACTCTTTTCTTACAGCCTAGCGCATTCGCCCTCTCCCTTTCCGCTTCTCCCCACAAAGCCCTGACTGTGGCACTCACTCTCTTAAGTTTATACACCTGGTTTTTGAAAGATCCAATCTCTTGGTCCAGGCCTAGAGGATAGGTTCCACCTGCAGCTGCTTTTGAGAGCTCTAAAAAGCAACTCAGATAATGCATGTGGCATTCACTCTCTTCCAGTCAATGCCTGCAGCACTCACTCTCTTTAGCTTGGACACCTGGTCTCTGAGAGACCCGATTTCTTGGTCCAGCCCTGAGCGGATAGGGTCCACCTGCAGCTGCACGTGCTCCGACGCTGCTGGTGTGTCGCCCAACAGCCAGCTGCGCCCCTTGCTGGATGGAGGGAGAAGAGGACAGGCGGGATAGGGAAGGGGAAAAGACTCAGGTGAGGATAGTCCATCTGCATCTATACGTACCCCCATGCTGCTGGTGTGTCGCCCTACAACCAGCTGCGGCCCTTGCTGGATGGAGGGAGAAGGGGAGTGGCGGGACTGGGAAGGAATACTTAAGCAAGCATGGTCCACCTGCAGCTGCAAGTGCACCGTGGCGGATGCTGTGTTGCTGCCCAACAACTAGCTGCACCCCTTGCTGGATGGAGGGAGAAGGGGAGTGGCGGGACTGGGAAGGGAAAATGACTCAGGTGAGGATTGTCCATCTGCATCTATACGTATCCCCATGCTGCTGGTGTGTCGCCCTACAACCAGCTGCGGCCCTTGCTGGATGGAGGGACAAGGGGAGTGGCGGGACTGGGAAGGAATACTTAAGCAAGGATGGTCCACCTGCAGCTGCACGTGCGCCGTGGCGGATGCTGTGTTGCTGCCCAACAGCCAGCTGCGGACCTTGCTGGATGGAGGGAGAAGCGGACAGGCGGATTTGGGAGGGAAAGTTCAGGGAATGATAGTCCACCTGCGGCTACACGTGCTCCGACGCTGCTGGTGTGTGAGGAAAGGAGGTAAAGGCCAATTTCGCAGAGGAAAGGAGGTGAAAAGAGGATATGAAGGCCAATTTCGCAGATTTACGTGCTTTGATGCTGCTGCGTTCGCCCAGCATCAAGCAGCGATGCTCGCAGGATGGAGACAAGGGAGGAGATGGAAAGGGTTGAGAGACGTGGTGCGTAGGGACGAGGGTTGTGAGAGGGGATGTGAAAGAAGGTGATCGGCGGGAGGAGGTTACATACATAGAACTGGACAACTGCAGCAACCGAGAGATTGCTTGTGTCCGTAGATGCTGCATGCAGAAACAGTCAAATTGCATGATTAGTGAACCATGAAAAGCTTCAAGAACGGACTTACTCGTTTCGATGGGTTGGTCTAAACGCCATGGTTCCAGTGTTTGGATACGGATGACTGGGTCCAAGATGAAACGCCGAATTCCACGACAAGGAAGGTGGTAAGAGCTACTGGACCAACAGTAGTGAATCCTAAACTACAACGACTGTGCCTAACGAGATTGAGCCAAGACGAGCTTCTGCAACTCGACAGCAAGAAAAGCCTATTGACTCTGCTTAATACTGGTGGCTCCAGAGTTTAAAACTCGCGAGATTCGACCATCTGTTGCTTCGACGAGTCAGTGAGATCGCATGAGAGCAGCAATCTTTCTAGAATCTAACAAAGGGACGATACCTAATCTGAACGGGCGGTCTTCGCGGCACCGAACATGGAACAAACTGCAGACGCAGCTGAACTGGGATTCTAGAGGGTAGAATCCAGCCGTGGCGACTGAAAGGACGAAATGCTATGGCTGAGAACTAAACTCAACTGAGAGTTCCCTCATTTTGTGCGTGGTGCTCTTTTGGTAATGCTTTCTGAGGCGTTTTGGTTGTGGTTGTCTCGTCTGGGCAGATTAAAATAAATCTCCTCGAACCACCGCAAGGCCAAACCTCGCTTTGATTGGTTATGGTCATCTCGATGACCACATTCAGGAAAAGCACAAAAATTTTGGTGACCCATCTTGATCACAAATGTTCAGGGTCAGTGCTGCAGTGAGGGCAGACCAAGGGATGCAAGTGTTGGCGTTCGCGATAGTCAGTACGCATTTACGACTTGTAACAAACGCTTGAGGTGACGGCTAGCAGCCAAACAAGATTCGCAAAAGCGGTAGCAAAGCGGATCACCAAGACTAGGGGTTCTAGAAACTTGGTCAACCGAACCATTTCCAAGGTGTGAGCGTCGCTGGTTTGCGCTGCGACTCGCCAAGGAAAGATAACGGTTACGTCGTCCAACGAACAGCGTTGGCGAAATTGAAGAACGAGCCCACGACGACTCGAGGGCGCGAAAGTCCTCCCCACGAAACGCAGCGCTGCCGCAACCTACAGATGCCCCCTCCTCACACGCTCACGATGGAGCGAGGACGTTCCGCGAAAGCGACCACCGTTTAGCGCTCTGACATGCACGAGCCAATAGAGAGCCAGAAAGCTAAACGACCACCGGCAAGTCACTGTGCGTACTCCAAAACTGAAGGACATGATGGTAGGTGGCTCTGGCGGGAGAGCGCAAGGGATGGCGGAAACGTGGTGATGCAGGCGACAGCCGTCCCCTGTCCTCTTCAAACCACACCACCCTACTTGAACTTAGCAAATCGCACTTCACCCATTTCAGTCCTGGAACGTAATATGAAATACCTAGACGGGGCACGAAGCAGTTGTTTTGGAATCCAGATTCCAGAAAGCAAGCCGAACAGAGAGCATAGAGCTGAGACAAGCAAGAGGGAGAAGAGAGTGAGGCTTGGGATTGGGACTCGAGAAAAGTGTTGTGAACTAGAAGCTCTCGAATTCGACCTGGCCGAGAGAGTCTTGCCGCCTTTCGGGTAGCTTCTTAATCAATCATCTGTATTATCTGTAAGGCTTCAGCAACAGCCTACGTTGTTTTCGTACGGGGTGCAGATCTAGCTACCAAAAGTCTTGCTGCAAGTCGCAGTACATACTAGTCCCCCAGTCTTCCCTATCAATCCTCTCTTGAAAGTACTCGCCTAGCCTTTTCAGTGGCTCCAGTCGACGGTTGTGCATGGCAGACTCTAGGAAGCCGTCAGCACATACATAGCTCGTAGCTTCGAGACGTCACGCGTCAGCACCACTTAGGGTTTCCTCATCCCAAGTCCTCCCACCCTCTGCAGATTAACTAACCATGCTGACTCCAATCAGCCAGACGTCGACTTTTTCAGCCGCGTCGGCCCTCACAAGCGTAGGTCCGTCGTCATACAGGGACCGAACAGCAGAGCTCTTCGCTATCGCAGAAGGCCTTCAAAAAGCACCGCCACTGCCAGGAGCCGCGAATGGCGATGTTACCAGTGGTTTCGCCCGATCATCGGATAAGAGCCTCGCGACTGTTCCCGTCGGCGGGTCCCCAGGCGGAATCGCCGGTGCAGGCGGCCCGGGAGCCAGCTCTGCGGGGTCTGCCGTTCAATCAGAGTTTAACCGGAGAGCGTCGCGAATCGGGTTGTGTATTCACCAGACGACGCAGAAGCTTCAGAAGCTGGCCAAACGTACGTGATGATTTATTTCAAGAATAGAAATAACGGTGTATGAAACTCCAGGTAGGAGGTCGGTGTCTTCAGAAATAGATTAGCAGTGTCCGTCCGCTTGTGTTTCTTAGCTTATATATCACGTGGAGACAAGGTTTTCGTCACAGGTGTCCCGTTTATGTCCCGCGAGCCCTGACCGTGGTTCGTTGCCCTCCCATTTTCTTTATTTTCTACCTCGTCTGCAGTGGCCAAGAGAACGTCGATGTTCGATGATCCAACGGCGGAGATTCAAGATCTAACGGCGGTGATCAAACAGGACATCACGGCGTTGAATGCGTCGATCTCAGACCTTCAAGCGCTCTGCGAGGCACAGGCAGAGGCAAGCGGCGGAAAGAAGGGGCAAAACCGGCACACGAGTGAGCACAGCAACACGGTCGTGGATAATCTCAAAAGCCGCCTCATGAACACCACCAAGGAGTTTAAAGACGTCCTTACAATGCGAACCGAGGTATGTCTATCATGCCGCGTCATGGGGGTGACACTTCTTGTTGCCAGCATATGTGCCTTCGAAGTTATGCGCGTGGTGTAAGGGCGTCGTCACGGTTCTCCGAGTTATGGCCGTTGCAGAGTGTACGCATTTGCGGAAATGCCATAATCTCCCAACTCGGATGCTTCACGCATGCTCGAAAATTGCTCTATCGTTCTCACGCTCAAGTGCGACTCCTGCCGCCCCTTGCCATTCTCCCGAACCTTCCCAGAACCTCAAGGTCCACGAAAACAGGCGCCAGCTCTTCTCCGCGACGTCGGGGATCGCGGGTGCGTCAGGCGCGCGGCAGCGGCCAGCAGCCGCCGCGCTCTCCGCCGCCCCGCCCCCCTGGGCCGCAGCATCTGGCGCGTCCTCGGCCACGTCTGCGTCACAACTATTCAGCAATACTCCCAGGTGGGTGGGTATAGCATTCGCAGGTGGGTGGGTAGCATTCGCAGGTGGGTGGGTAGCACTCTTGAGACGTCTCAAAAGCCTCTCTGGGCCATTGCCTTTGGCGCGTCCTCGGCCACTTCTGCGTCACAACTGTTCAGCAACACTCCCAGGTGGGTGGGTATAGCATTCGCAGGTGGGTGGGTAGCATTCGCAGGTGGGTGGGTAGCTCGCAGGTGGGTGAGTAGCACTCCATGTGGGTGGGTGGGGGGGGGGGGAGGGGGAAGGGGGGGGGGGGGTGCGCTGCAGCGCGGAGTAGAGTGAATGGGACGAATGAGGTGAATGAGGTCAGTGAAACTAACAAGCTCAATGAATTTACAAGGTAAAATGAGGTCACTGAATCGAACGTGTTCGGTAAGTTTGATGAATTGAAAGAGGTTAGTCGGTGCTTGATTGACTTGACAGTGGCGGTTCTAGCAGGTCAGGTCTTCTCTCGCAATGGAACCAAAGGCGTCGAGGTGGGAGGGAGAAGCATGGCGGTGAGGATCAGGGACAGAGTCAGGTCTGTACAGCTTGTATGCTTCAGTAATGTGCGCCAGTCACAAAAGCGGCTCTGGCACCTAATCCCTGAGACCATCACCTTCTTTGGCACCAAGTGCACAGACTGAAGCAGGCTGATGGAGCTCAACTGAAGCGGGAATGAGCGGGGCATCTGGCAAGATTAGGTCAGGGTGTGGTTCGGTCATGCTGGCGTGGTGGAATGTACATGTATGGAGACATTAGGGTTCGTATGGGTGTCGGTTGGGTGTATCGGAGATGGTGGTACGACAATGGAGGGACGTGAAGCACACAGCGAATGTGTGTTTAGCAAGTTAATGCTCACTCTATGACCTCTTCTTCACAACGGCGCCTCCCTGTGCTTCCCTATGCCCCGCTCTTTACTCTCCCTTCCCCACTCCCCTGTGCTTCTTCCTCTGTCCTCGCTCCAGCAGCGGCACGAGGAGGAGCCATCCGTTTGACCCACTGCAGCAGCAGGGGCAGCAGCAGGCGCTGCTAGCGCAGCAGGACTCATACATGAGCAGCCGCTCAGAGGCGCTGCAGAACGTGGAAACCACCATCGTGGAGCTCAGCACCATCTTCCGAGACCTCGCCACCATGGTGGCGCAGCAAGGGGAAATGGCCATTCGGTAAGCCAGCACCACCGACCACCCTGCTTCCCCCTCGCCTCCTATCCACTCCCTTCCTCCCCCCTCCCCACTTCCCCCCGCCCCCCTCTTCCCCCTTTCCCCCACCCTCCGCCTTCCCCTTCCGTTCTAACCCCCCGTCACTCCCCCCCTCCCCACCTTTCCCCCCCCTCCTCCCCTCGCCCCCGCCCACCTTTTCTCCCCTTCCCCGCCCACCCTTTCCCCCTTTCCCCGCCTCACCCCTTCCCCTCCCGCTCCCACCCCCTCTCCCCCTCTGTCCCCCTCCCCTCCGTGCAAGCGAGAGGGGGACATGGTGGCTACTTGGTTTCGTAGCTGGAGTTGGATGGAAATTTGGTGCATGTGATGGGGTTGGGGCTGCAGGGCTGGACCGCAGCGTTTGGATAAACCTGTGTATGACCATCTCTGTACTTGTTTTGCAGCATCGATCAAGACATGGACGATACTTTGTCAAACGTGGAGGGAGCACAAGGCGCCTTGCTCAAGTATCTTAACAATATCTCGTCCAACCGATGGCTCATAATCAAGATCTTCTTTGTGCTTATTATCTTCCTGCTCATCTTTGTTGTGTTTGTGGCATAGACATAATGAACTAAACCTATATTCTGCTTCTCAGCTTCTGCTGTGCAGTGTTTTGGATGTGCAGTGCTTTGGCAAAGTAGGTGAAAGCCTGCAGCATAGTTTGGTCCTAAACGCTATTGTGCACATTCCACATGCCAATAACACATATTGGAGAAGTATTTGTGACGCTGGAAAATTTGCTCAAGCTATTCAAGAACGCATCATCAGATGGAGTATTTCAATCTGAAAAACAGGAAGCCAATAAATTTACTGATGCTCAATACTACGGGCATCTTTATGATGTACAGTTGCAACTATGGACGAACACAATAAGTGTTGTTAACGAATACAGATTCCTGTCAACGCTGGACACACGATATGGCAGTGCTCTGATCTCTTCTCACACTCCTCAAAATCGCCTTCGTTCCTCGTAAGTAATCCTATCAGTTGCGTTCTTCGAAGCTAGTAAGTCGATTTTCCCTGGATCGTTCGTTCAGCTGTTGGTTTCCATCCGGCCATGGCCGCTAAACTCAGGCCTTCCGCCATGGCGCGTCGTGCCATGCTGATTCGGGTATGTTCTTTGTCCGCCTGTTTGCTCCTTTGTGCCCTCACCTGGCGCCGATATACGACCTCCGTGTCAGCCGATCTAGACCAATCACCGTCCTCCTCGTCATCACTGGCCTCCTCCCTTTCATGGTTCTCGCGTAAAGCAGCCAATAAGCTTGATCCGACTGTCCAGGACGGGCAGAGTAAGAAAAAGGTTCAGTTGCCCCTTGGTCCCCACCTCCACCTGCGTAATTTCGTCTCCCAACGTTTCTACGAACCCCGTGTACCTATGGCCAACTCCAAACCTCTCGCCGAGCCTCATTCCGAACCTCATTCTCACACGCAGCACCCACGGCGGCACCGCTCAGGTCTGTGCGTTGCCATCCCCACCATCCCTCGGCCGACCGTGGAGCCGAACGTGTCCAGCTGGCAGCTCCTCACCCGGCTTTTGCGGGATCTGGACGGCGAGCGGGCCTCGGGAGAGGGTGTATTAGACCACGCAATGAAGGTGGTAGTGTATAGCGCGTCGTGTATGTATAGGTTCCAACCAGGGGCGGCAGATGTGGGGAACGTGGTGGGGGACGGGACACGTGTCACTGAGCTCAATCGGGCGGTCGAGGAGCAGTACACGCAGGCGGTTAGGGTTTCGAGGGAGCTGTCTGTCCCCGTCTATGTGGTCCCCGCTAATGTAGAAGTTTGTGCGTTTATATATAACAAGACGCGTATGGAGGAGGTTGTGCCGAGCGAGCTACAGTACAAGGATTGGAGTCGGTGGATGTGGATGGCGAAGGAGAGCATCGATTTCGTGTACGCCGTGCGGCAGTGTATGGTTACCAACCCGCGTTACATCTTGTTCCTGGAGGACGACACGAAACCCATCCATCGTTACGACTCGGCAATTGAGCGTTTCATCTCCGAAGACCTTGCAAACAAGTCCTGGGCCGTGCTATCCCTGTACCTCCCACGATCATACCATTGGCCCGTACAACACGCAGACGAATACTCAATCCCCTGCTGCACCCAAGCGCTGCTGTTCAACGTTACCGCGTTACCACCACTGCTGGATTTCGTGGAAGGGAATTTCATGCGAGCCCCGATCGACCTGCTGCTGCGCGACTACTTGAAAGAGAAGGGCCTGCACGCGTATGTGCATGTGCCGTCGCTGTTCCAGCACATGGGCGTGTACAGTACCAAGGACGGCAGCAGTAAGGCGTTTCACTTTGACTTTCTGTTTGGGAAGAACGCGTCTGCGTTGACTGCTATGGGCGGCGCTGTGGAAGGGGTGAGGCTGGCGCCTCTGAATTTGACCTGAGGGAGAGGAGGAGAGAGGGGGATGGATGGGGAAAGGGAGGTGGTTGTGGTGATGATGGTGATGGTGATGGTGGTGGTGGTGTCGAGATGAGATGCGGCGATGGTGCGACACGGTGGTCTTTCATGGTGACGGTGGGCATGTTTATGGACAGGAGTGTTTTGCTGCTGATGGGGTGGATGTTGGTACTGGGTGTGAGTGCCAGATGGAATTTGACTGGATGGGGTGACAAGGCAATTTTTTGGCATGTTGCTGATGGTGGTATATGGTGGTTGATGGTGGCTGAAGATGGCTGAAGCTGGTGGAAAGGGATGCATGTACTGCAATAAAAGTCATGGAATTCAATGCAGGGATGCAGCATGCGCTGTGGTGCGGTGCTGCTGAGCCGTCAGCAAGCATGCGATGGGATGTGCTTGTGGCTTTTTGCAAGAATGGGGCCTGCAGAGGAGGAGACGAGGTGATCAAGCCACGTGTTTGCTCTCATGGCTGTCGTTCTTGCTACAGCGACCTTTTCAAGGTAAGCACCAGGCACCTTCACACGTGGTTAGATTACAGCACATCCGTGTACCCATGCCTTTTTCTGATGCACCTCAGCAACTCATGTGTTTGTCGCCAGTTGGTTCGCACTTGCTGTGTCTGTATGTTTCCCCGCCCATCGCCCTGTACCATGGTTTGCTTTCCAATCTCTTATGCTGATTGCACATGTGCTTGATTGCTGTACTGTGTTTGCAACAGATTCCAGCCTCTTGCTTGTGAGTGAGCTCCAGCTGAGTGAGCCTCTGAGCAGCTTTTTTTTTTTTTATCAATGTTGGACGTTTCTCATTTCTTAGCTACGAACTTGTGGTTCGAATGCCTCCCATATGTAGTAAACGAGATTTATGATGAGCAGATTGAGAAAGCTTGCTTTCTGTAGCAATTGGCATCGTTCTCATTACAATGGGTTCAAGTACAATAGTTCCTAGCAGTGATATGTGTAAGAACTACTACTTTGCAAGGGTGACTAGCCTGGGGAGGGTGGGTGGGTGGGAATTGAACTTGAGCGATTGTAAAAATGAGAAACGTGGGTGGGGAATGTTGGGCTGAACGCCCTAGGATCTTTAGTAGAGTTCAAGTCTGAGTAAATGATGTAGTAGCGGAAGCGTTTGAATAAAGTCTTTGAACCACCTTGCGCTAGTATGTGAGGGCAAAGTAAGTTGATTAAAGCAAAGAGATACAAGAACATATAGTATATGAGTACAGAGAATATGAAGAGACATAATTGTAATTGTTTTACTGTTGCGGTTCGATACAGTGCGACTCGGGCAACTGCTCAATGTCGAGTCAGTTGTGTGTCCTTGCTGTCGCGCAGCGTCAGGTCAAAGGTCGCTGACCTTTGACTTTCTCGTAACCTCCAGCGGTTACGTTAATCTCCGAGGGTTGACTCACGGTGCTTCGATTTGAGCTGCTTCGCTTGTGTCTTGAGTTTCGACACGACAGAGGCGCTTAAGACTATTTGTTCCCAACACTCCCCTTCGCTTCTGGAGTGTCGCTGATGGTGACGTGACTTTGTCCAGTCAGCAGCATGCAGTACTCGAACTTCTGTTTTCCGAGCTTCTTGGTCAAGTAGTCAGCTGCCATCTCAGACGTGGGACAGTAGGATAGTTTGAGTTTCCCTTTCTCGATCTCGTCTTTCACGAAGAAACATCGCAGGGCGATATGCTTCGTTCTGTTCGCGAATCCGCTTTTGTTGGCGATGCGAATCGCAGATTGGTTGTCGCAGAACAGAGTGAAGTTGGGTAACTCGGCTAACTTCGCTTCTTCCAGCAGCTCACGAAGATAGAGTCCTTCCTTGGTGGCTGAGCAGAGTGCGATATATCCTGCTTCAGCTGAGGAGAGAGCGATTAGTTCCTGCTTGCTCGATTGCCAGGAGATAGGTCCGATAGGTTCGAGGCGATAGATGTAGCCAGTGCGGGAGCGTCTGTTGTCTGAATCGCCGACGTGATCGGCATCGACGTAGCCGATTAGTTTCGTCAGTGTAGTTTTACTCTTGTAGTATGCCAGGCCGATCGTCGAGGTGCTCACGAAGTAGTGGAGAGCGCGGTCGAGTTCCGCCAGGTGTTTTGTTTCGGGCCTTTTGAGATAGGTAGCAAGTTGACTTGCGGAGTAGGACAGATCTGGGCGGCAGGTGACGGCTGCGAAGAGAAGGCAGCCCAGCTTCCTCTGGTAGTCGTGTATTCCGACGGTTTTGAGTAGAGCGGGGCAAATGTCTCGATGAAGTCCCGTCCGTGCTCCTGATCGAATCCACGCACAACACAGCGTGCTTTGAACTTCTCAATTGTGCCGTCTGCTTTCGTTTTAACACGGAAGACCCATTTCCCAGTGAGAATGGTCTTGTTTCTTGCCATGCTGATGGGAACGACTTTCCAGGTGTTCCGTTTCTCCAGCGCCTTTAACTCTCTGTCCATGGCTTCACGCCATTTCTCCCTGTGTTCCCCCCCCAGAGCCTGCTGAACTGTCGCAGGCTCTTTAGGAAGAGCATTGCCGTGACCTGCGGTGACGAGGCCGAGAATCTGCAGTCCAGTCTGTGAGTAGCGGGGGAGAGTTGTGTCCTCGGGATAAGCTGCTTCATCTCCCGCTTCTGGGTCGGGTATGAAATTCAGCCCTATCCGTTCTGCTTCGTTGGTGTTGACTGTCGCAGGTGTTATGTAACCGTTGTCGGCGAAGTGGTAGAAGACTTCGGCGTTGGCGCTTTCGCGAGGATTTTCTTCGTCCATGGGGACGTTGACGGAGCAGAACGGTAGAGGTCCGGCTTCTTCAGATGCGTTGTCGACGTTCTGCTCGTCCCAGTCTGCTTCGTCCGCTGCTGAGGCGAAGGCTCGGTCACCACGAAAGCCACCTGTGGGGTCCTGATTTTCGTGCAAGTTGGCGAGGTACGTCTGAAGCGTGGGTCCTTCGTAGAAGATCACGTCACGTGCTGCTACTGTTTCCTTGAAGTGGACGTCGAAGATTTTCCACGCGTTGTAATTCTTTTCGATGCCGAGGTGTAGTCCCCATTGTGCGCGTTGTGAAAATCTTCCCGCTCGTGCTTCTGGGGGTCGGTACTGTACCATGCACCCGAGAACTCGTAACATTTTTGTGCTGCCCTGTTTCCCTGTCCACAGCAGATGCGGTGATGCGTTGTTCGGAAGTGAGGACGACGACATCAAGTTGTGCAGCATGACAGCGTGGTCCATTGCTGCAGGCCACTGGTGGTTGGGTAGCCGCATGCCACGTAGCAGTTTGCGCATGCTGTTCTGCAGAGTCCTGTTCATTCTTTCTGCGACACCTTGCTGCTGATGGGCGTAGGGAAGGGAGAGGAGCTGCTTGATTCCTCTTTCCGCCAGGTACTGCTTGAAGCGCTGAGAGGTGTATTCTCCTCCTCCGTCTGACTGGAAGCTTTTCAGCTGTGCTCCCGACTCTCTCTCTGCTACTGGTAGCCAGGCGGCGAATGCTGCGAGTGCCATGTCGCGGCTGGGTAGGTTTAGGTGCCAGACGTATCGAGTGGCGGCGTCGATGAAGGTTATCGTGTAGTTGTAAGTAACTTGTCCTGGTTCTCGATTGAAGAGAATATCGCTGTACACCTTCTCGAGTGGTGCGTACGCGGGTGCGCTCGGGTTGTGGTGAGGAGTAAACGGTCGATGTGGTAAGTCGGCTTCGGGGCAGGTGAGGCAAGTTCCTCGTGCCCGTTGAAGTTCTCTGCCGTCGGGTAGTAGTAATGAATCCTTGTCTAGGACTCCTGCTCTTATTGTATTATTTAACACGGTGTTGCTTGGATGTCCCATGCGTGCGTGCCTGATGTCTTCGGAGGCGCGGTGTCCGGGTGAGCGTCGATACGCATCGGAGTTGGAGTAGAAGCTGGCGACGAAGTTTGCGCTTCTGTGGACTTCTCGTTGAGTTGGGTTCAGCTGCTGTGCGAGTGTTGGTGGTGCTTCATCAACGAGAACTAGTGTCGCTGACGATGGTTCTGCTACTGCCGATGATGTTTCTGCTGCTGCCGATATTGTCTCTGCTGCTTTTGCTGCTGCCGATGTTGTCTTTGCTGCTGCTGGATGTTGAATTGTTGCTAACGCGCGTGTTCGTTCTGCTTCAGGGATGGTATGCGAGTACCAGAAGCCTTCCGGGCTGAAGTCTGGATCAAGATCTGGAGGGTGCGTCCAGTCGGCGAAGTTTACGATGGCGTCGCTGTCTGCGGTGCCCAGGTCTGGGACGAAGTCAAGGACAAAGACGTTATTCTTCAGAACCGCCTTTCCGATGTAGAGGCCGCCCTTCCCGTGGTACAGTTTGAACTCCTGGGTGGTGCTGTCGGCTTCCAGGTGTATGCCTTTCGCCATCAGCTGACTGACGCTCACTAAGTTGTAGCCGAGTCCCTCTGCTATTAGGACTTTCGACATTTGTAGTACGACGTTCGTCTCCCGTGACTGAAGCTGTACTATGCCTTGTCGTCTTGTTCGCAGGTTCTGATTACTGGCGACGGTGATGACGACTTCTCGTTGAAGTCGGTGCTCGCGTTGAACGAAACGTCCTGAGGAGCACATGTGTTGTCCGCAGTAACTGTCCAAGAACCAAGTGTCTCTTCCGGATGGCTCGCTTTGAGCGATGGCGGCGTATGTCGGGTTCGGCTAAAGTGACTCGCGGCGAGGTGTGGTTTCGTCAAGTCGTTCTTCTGGTGAGTAGTGCGGCAGTGATTCGGTGATGCAGGAATCTGTTGTCTTTGCCATGCAGTTGACGATGTTTCTTGCTCCTTGTGCAGGTTGTCCTGTTGGAGTCGTTGAGGTTTGAATCTTTGTCGTGGGAGTTGCTTGCGTTGAAGTGACTTGGGAGCTTGAAGGCCGAAGTTGTCGCTGTGGTGTTGTCGATTGCTGGCGATACTGGCAGTGCGTACGAGGATGCCCTAAAGTCTTGCAGATATGGCAAAACGGAGGTACTGGCTTCAATTGCTGCCGATTGTTGTTGTTGTAGCGTCGCTGGGTGTGAAACGCGAACTCTGGTATTGACGTTTTCTTCTTATGTCGTTCTTCTTGCAGGTCCATGTCCTGCTGTTCAGCATGGATTTCGGCGCAGAGTGCTGCTTCGGAGATTCTCCCGTGTGCCCGTAATATGGCGCGAGTGGAGCGCCAGTGAGGGCAAAGACCACCGATGACAACCGTGACAAAGGCGTCTTCTGAAATCGATCCTCCACATCGAAGAAGCTTGTCGCGCAGTTCGCGGCAGCGACTGATATATGCCATGCCCTTCTTGTCAAATTATAATATTGTGTAGGCTATAGTGGGGTAGCCCATATGGGGTACACATTTCTAGGGTTGCATATTTGTATCACTTCCATTCCTTACTCATCATCCTCGTTCTAACTTTCTCATGGTATCGAGCAAGTTCCCTCAAGGGAACTATGCCTAGGGCCCACCACATCGAATTTTGTTTTCTGCCCTGAGCGCGCTCCCCTAGTCGCGCTCCCCTCTCTGCATTCGTCGAGCCGCCCTAGCGGCCTCCCTTGCGGCCCCGCCGCCCTCACTTGCGGCCCGTCGCCGCCCTCGGTTGCGGCCCCGTCGCCGCCCTCACCTGCGGCCCCGTCGCCGCCCTCACCTGCGGCCCGTCGCCGCCCTCAATTGCGGCCCCGCCGCCCTCACTTGCGGCCCCGCCGCCCTCTGTTGCGGCCCCGCCGCCCTCAGCTGCGGCCCCGTCGCCGCTCTCACCTGCGGCCCGTCGCCGCCCTCAGCTGCGGCTCCGTCGCCGCCCTCACC